GAAGAAAAAGAAAGCCCTATTTAGTTACGACAGGAAACAGTACATGATCTGCTACTATTTGGGAGCCATTTTAGAGGGTTTTGGTTTTGGTGTTTGGAGATGGGGGTTGTCTCACTATGTTGTCCAGGCTAGTCTTGAACTACTAGGGATGAGCAATCTTTCTGCCTCAGTCACTCCCAAGCAACTGGGACTGCAGGTAATGCTACCATGCCTAACTTTGGAAAACATTTTTAAAAATTATTTATTGTGTGTGTATATAATGGGGGCACGTGTACCATGGCTCTCTTCCTCCACCTTCATGCAGGTTCTAGGGATTAAACTCCATAGTTTGGGGGCTGGAGAGATGGCTCAGCAGTTAAGGACACTGACTGTTCTTGCAGAAGACCCAGGTTCGAATCCCAGCACCCACATGGCAACTAACAACTGTCCACAACTCCAATTCCAAGGGATCCGACAGCCTCTTCTGTCCTCCACGGGCACTGCACGACACAGGTGCACTTAACTACATGCAGGCAATACACATATACATATAAAATAAAAATAAATAAAATTAAAAATAAATAAATAAATAAATAAATTCCATAGTTTGGCCAAAAGACCCTTCCACCCACCACACAGCCCAAATGTCTTCTCGTAATTATCTTTCAACTGCTGTCATCTGTGCCCACGATGAGTGACACCAACCACCCTCACTGTCACCTCCTAAAGGCAGTACCCACAATTCTCACCACTGCCTCCTCTCAGCCTTCTGTGGCTTGTTCACCTCCTACCCTGTCTCTCAGCCCGACTTCTAGTCTTTAGCCCCAAATGCCACCATTGATCCAGCCTCCTCCAAACAGTGCTTAGAACCTACTGGACAAAATTCAAAGTCCTTGTTTGGTCTCTTAAGGTCATATGCAAACTACCCCTAACTTTTCAGAGCAGCTGGAGTTCATAAGCTGACACAGAATATATTATATTCTTTTTTTTTTGGTCTTTTTGAGACAGGGTCTCCCTGTAGTCCCAGCTGGCCTGGAACTCACTATGTAGACCAGGCTGGTCTTGAATTCATGGAGATCTGCCTGCCTCTGCCTCCCAAGTGCTGGAACTAAAGGCATGCACCACCGCACCTGGCTATATTATATTCTTAATATAACTTTCTTGTTTCAAACAGTCCTCCCTTTACTGTTCTTCAAACATGTAGCCCATTCCTGTAGCTTGTCTTTCTATCTAGAATATTCTCCATGGGGTATTCTTCATGGAATTCTGCCCAGTTCATTCAAGTTAATGGCGACTTCTACTGAAATCCTTGAAATCTTCCAGTTAGAGCTCCTCATCAACACTAATGAGGTGTGAAAGTGTATGCCTGTATCCCAGTACCTGAAAGCTGAGGCAGGAGGATTGCCAAGAGTTTGGGCCCAGCCTGGGCTACCCAAAATGAGACCCTGCCTCAAAAAAGAAAAAAAGAAATGAAGAAAAGAAGCAAGGAAGGAAGGCAGGAAGGAGGGAGGGAGGGAGGGAGGGGGGAAGGAAGGAAGGAAGGAAGGAAGGAAGGAAGGAAGGAAGGAAGGAAGGAAGGAAGGAAGGAAGGAAGGAAAATGTGACTATAAACTGCCTTGCAGGGCAACTTAATTTTTCAAGTGGATTTGTCTTTAACATGAATAAACTACCTGACAGCGACTAGCCTGAGCCCTCTTTGTGCCAAAGCACCTCTCTCTGCTCTGGACATGTTTTCCACATGTGCTATGTGAACATGGAATTGTGGCATGAATCTTCTGACCCAGACTGAGGGGCTTAGCCTTTGGAACCTGCGCAAGAAAGTTAATACAAGATAAGAAAGTAGAGTCCAATAAAAAAAAAAAAAAAAAAAAAAAAAAAAAAAAAGCCAATTCAGCAACATCTGAATCCACATTTGCAAGTGATTGGGTATGGAATTAACCCTATTTCTAAATCCCTAGTGGTAAGCAGAGATAAACTGCAAGCATTGTTTTGAGTCTTTTAAAGACTCCCCTATGAAGGGGTGAATGCAAACAGGGCCCCTCAAACTGGATGCTAATTACCAGCAAATCCTCCCTAGCATAGCCAGCCTTACAAAAGTAAAGACAGTCTTTTATCTGCCTGATAACACCAGGTCCCAGTTCACACATCAAAAAGGGAGAGTTTGCTTTCCCAGGGAAGCCATTTAGGGACAAAGTCAATTGGTATAGGCAGAGCACTGACTGCCCTTGTGATGTGGCATCTGGGCCCACTGTTCCTGTGGAAGGCTTTAATTGACTAGTGAGGTTGTGCTGAACCAGCCCCACCCTTGAACCAGGAGGGAAAGAAGCCTGTGGGTCATAGTTGGAGCCTTGGAAACTAGTATGAGATGGTCCTGGAGCTGCTGCACAGAAGGAAATGTGTACACAGAGCAGTCATGCTAGGGGCAAAAGGGGACCTTTCCAAGTTGGCTGCCTTGAGCCTCTAAAGAGGTCATTTCACAAGCAGCCGGTTAGCTGAAGATGACGCTGATGTATTTTGCCAGACCAATGTAATGTCTTTTTCAACAGCTGAACTGGTTGTTAATACTTAAAAATCAAGAGATTTCACATATAAATCTGGATTTCTGGCTTCTCCTGGTCAGAACCTGGCCAGGCTGAGCCCTTAGTCCACAGGGAGATGAACCTCCATGTGGAATACCTGCTCCCCATGGGGCCAAGGCACCTGTTTTGTTTTGTTTTTTTCCCCTGCCCAGCTCTTGTTTGTTTTCCTTGATCTAAAATGTTGCAATTTTCCAAGCTGGAGAGACAGCTCAGCAGTCAGAGCACTGGCTGCTCTTACAGGAGATCCAGGTTCAGTTCCCAGCACCCTCATAGTAACTAACAACCATCTGTGACTCAAGTTCCTGGGGATCCGACAGCTTCTTCCCGCCTGTGTGCTTTTATACATGCAGGCAAAGTATTCATGCACATAAAATGAAATAAAAAACACTGTTCATTTATCTAAACACTGATCCTAGGAACTTGCCATCACTGAATGCTCTAGAGGGATGGGCATGGGCCAGGTTGAGGGGAAGTAGAATCTACTATGTACTTTCTCTGCTACTCTTCAATTCTTGAGACAATCCTGTATCCTTTTACTGCCACACACCTAGTGTTACAACAAGCTGACAGACCCCTGAGCCCTCCTCTTTACCAAGCAACCACTTGGCTATCTGGATGTTTGTTGATGTATAGTAGGGTCCATCAGATCTCCTGTAGCTGCAAACACATTCCACTGTGGGTTTAATACTAGCTTTTAATTTTTTTATTACCTTTATTATGTGTGTATGTGTGTGTGTGTGTGCACATGCTAACTGCTTGTGTGGAGGTCAGAAAATGATGTACAGGAGTCAGTTCTCTCCAACCATGCGGCTCCCAAAGATTGAACTAAGATCATCAGGTTTGGACACAAGTGCCTTTACCCACTGAACCATCATCTCACTGGCCCAATACTAGCTTTTTAAAGGACACAAAAAGCTAGAGCTAGAACTGAGTGCTTGCCTAGCACACAGGAAGCCTTGGGTTCAAACCTCAGCACCGAATAAAATGGGCACTTGGGAGGTAAAGGCAGGAGGATAAGAAGTTCAAAGTCATCATAGTCTTTAACCCACGTGGTGTGTCAGTGAAGCCACGTGAAAGAGTTTGAGTTTTGTCACCCTGGGTGGGAGTGGATGACTGAGGAGAGAGCTTGATGGCTAAGTGACTGAGGGCCTGTAGGCAAGTCCCTAGGGCCCTAGGACTTGTGAGAGGAGCAGCAGTTCACCTGCCTATAAATTTGTTGCAGCTGGGGAAGTTATCGAAGATGCTTGAAAGACACATAAACTCATTTTATACTTTTGTTTGTTTTTGTTTTTGTTTTGTTTTGTTTTTCCTTTGGTCTTTTTGAGACAGGGTCTCCCTGTAGCCCCAGCTCTCCTGGAACTCACTATGTAGACCAGGCTGGCCTTGAACTCACAGAGATCTGCCTGCCTCAGCTTCCCCAGTGCTGACATTGGAGGCGCAGCTGCCCCGCTGCCTGGCCTTTTAACTAGCCTTTAATTATGATTTCTCTTCAAGTTTTTCTGAGCTGTAAAAGTTCAAGGCCTTCAGCTGGTTCTAAAGTTTCCTCTGCTAGCATCCACCTCCTCCCACCCCCTCCACCTCACCCCACCCAAGTCTAGCACCAGCTCTGAACACCTGGAAACGTCTAGGGACCTGGAAACTACTAGTGAGGAGGTTAATTGGGAATTTAAGAGGTCAGGGATATCGGAAATAAAGATGGGGGGCACTGTTTTGGCTTTATCACCGGAATCTCCCAGGTTCTTTCAAGACCATTGGGCAGCTTTAGCAAACAGCCTTAATGTCAGCGCCCCGCTGCGGAATTCCAAGCTCAGCTTGTCACAATTGTTAACACCTTCTTTGACCAGCCTCTTTCTATTTGACAATTCTCTTCGGCTCCTCTCTCTTGCCACCGGGAGGTTCCAGCAGAACCTTGATTTTAGGAAGCCCCCCGACCCCCACCCCCTAGCGAACAGCCTCTTCGCTTGCAGAAGTCGAGGAAAGATTCGCTGGGCTCGTCCGCTTTGCAGGGTGAGTAGGTTTCCAGATTTTGGAGCCCGGCGTGGGGGCGGGGTGGCCACTAAGGATTTTAGAGGTTTCTATGGGTCATCTGGAAAGTTATCGATGCCTGGAGTTTTAGGTTGGGGACAATAACTGCCCTGCCTATGCAGCTGGCCTAGGGGGGCTCAGAGCAGCTCGGGCTTAGGGGGCTTGGGTTGCACCGGGGTACCCAGGCTCCCAGGGTACAGCGCCAGAGGCGCTGTGCCCACGCGGGACCTCGGCATCCGGAGAGTACCATCCACTGGAACTTGCTCTGATGGAGCCGGGAACTAGGCGCTCCCTTGGGCCCTCGGGGTGTCCTCCCACTCTTGCCAACTTTCCCGGCCCCGGGGCCGGAGTAGGGCGCCTCTCCCGGCAGAGGCGCGCCGTACTTAAGGCGGCTCGGCGGGGCCGGTGCTCGTCAGTCAGAGCGCGCGGCAGCACCGAGGAGGGAGCGCGCGGCGGCGGGAGCCGGAGGACGGGCATGGAGCCGCCGCGGGCCTCCTGAGCACTGGAGTGCGGGCAGCCAGCGGCACGGTGAGCCGGGCTGGCCGCATCCGAGGGGCGGGCGCCTCCTCCGAGCCTCGGGGACCCCGGGTGGCCAGAGCGCGGAGGCCGGCCAGGGCTGAGGCCGCTCCCCAGCGACCCCTCCTCCCTTTCTTCCTGCATCCTCTGCTCAGCAGCCTCTCCTCCTCCCTTCCTCCCTGGCCGCTCCTGTTTTGTGAATGAATCAGGAGGTCGGGGGCGGGGTGCGCCGTGGTGAGGGGCCAGAGGCTGGAACCCCCTCCCCTCACCCACGCCTGCATGGGCTTCGCACCTGCGGGGACATCAAGCTCTCCAGCGCCTCGGTCCCCGCGGATCCGCGGGGCCACGGCAGCACGTGTTTGCGAGATGCGGCTGAGGGCGCCTAGGCGCGAGGGAGGGAGCCCCAGCCGCGCGTGCAAGTTTCATCCCACTGCCTGTGGGCTGGGCAGCCTGGCGCACCTGTCAGCCGAGAAGCGCCGCGGACCCGGCAGCCCCTCAAAGTTCCCGGGGTGGATGCGGAGCTGTGCGCCCTTGTATGGAGGTTTTTGTTTGGCGGGGCTTGGATCTAGGAGAACGCACCCCAGCCTGGTGCCCTTGCACCCGAGTACCGGGTAGCTAGCCGGGCCAGGCTCTTCTCGATTCCTTCCGAGTGAGGGGGAGGCCGCCCTGGGTGCAGATCGCACTCCAGTCTACCAGCTTGGAGAGACACAGCCCCCTCTCTGAGCAGGGATCAGCCCGCGCCTGCGCCCGACTGCACGCTGGGTATCGGGCTGCTGGACCTTCTTGGGTCCTCTGTGGGGAGTGGGTACCGAGGTACTGCTGCTTAATTCCCGCGGGGGAGGGGTCCCGCCCGGGGATGGAAGGGACTGGCGAGTCCTGAGATGTCGCCTTTGTTTGCAGGCACTCTTTTGCCCAGGTAGCTGGGGCCGGGAAGATGAGTAGGGCCTGGTCGGGCTGTGATTTTTTGGGTTTTCCCTTCCTTCCTGGTCGGGTCGTGGGAAACCGGCACGTGGGTGTGGCCGCGCAGAGAGCGAAGCTCAAGCGGAGTGACGAGCATGGCCAGAGCTTTCACCGCCGCCTTGACCTGACCCGACAGCCTCTGGAACTGCACCGAGGTGGGGCGCTGGGGCGCAGGTTGCTGGGCTGCCCACTGCACCCCTGTGCCTTCCCAGGACGCAGGCGAGCAATGGGGCTCGCAGCGTCCCCGGTACAGGAGTGGCGGTGGGCGTAGGCCAGGGGCGCCGTGGACCGAGTGTGTGCAGAGAAGGGAGGACCAGGTAAGGCTGGAAGTCCTGCAGAGGAAGCATGTAGCCGGCTCCCCGGCTGGTGGGGCAGAAAGCCCAGAGCCGTGCTTCCCAGAGAGGCCAGGCTGCCAACAGTCCTTCCCTATTTTTGCTGCTGGAAGACTGCTATTGCGGGTTTAGGCAGTGACTGTGTTCTTTACCCATCCTATGTGCGAGGTGTTCCCGGCAGCAAAGCCTGTCTGTGTTGGGGTGGGGCTCGGTTTCAGGGGGAACCCAGAGTTGAAACAGGCTTGGAAGCGAGACGTCATTGTCTGAGGCAGAGGTTTGAACCCATTCTCCAAATGGGGCAGGTGGCAAGGAGAGGAGATGGGACCGGAGGTCGGTCTGTCTAGTCTTCCCCACCTGGGCTCTGGAGGAAACCACAGCCTTGCCTTGGGCAGCCCTGGAGGGCTCCAGTGCTTCCCTTTTTAGGAAGCAAGAAACCACTAGGACCCCTGGAAGGGCAGGTGACACTGCCTTTGGGCAAGGTCAGGCAGCCAGGAAGGCAGTGGAGTCTCCAGTGTCAAGTCCTGGGCTCTTCTCATTAAAGTGCAGCAATTTCCAATGGGGCAGGTACTAGGACCCCAACTTAGTTACAAACAGAAACCTGCATTGCTCTCCGGAGTGGTTGGACCGCGGATGTGCAGAGAGTCTATGGGGCACTAGGACCGATGGGGCGCCGCCGCAGCCACCTCTTCCCTGCTGCTGCAGTGGTTGCTGCGGTTCCCTCTGGCTCTTCTCAATGCTGCCCTTCCAGGAGGGCTGTCCACACCCCAGCTCTGTTCCTTTTCCGAGTCTGCTTCCACCCTGGCTTTCTCTCAAGTAAATGAGAAAAAAGGTGAAAGCGGAACACAGGGAAGTTTCTCACTGAGTTAGCTGTGAGAAAGAGAATGGTGAGTTGTGTCCACCCCACGTCCCTTTGACATTTCCTGCTGTTTCCCTCCCCTGATTTCTTCATGGGCTTTTTGCTGTGCTTTATGGGAGAACAGTCCCCTCCCAGAGCCCTTTTCTCCCACTCTATCCGCAGAGCTGTCTCCTGGGTACCGGGTGTCCCCACTGAAACTTACCTATGAACAGCTTTGGGTCAGGCAGATCAGTCTACCATCTCCCAGTTCTTTACATGTCACCCATTTACTCCTGGAACATGCTCTGATACCGGAACCCACATTTCACAGGTGAAATAGCTGTGTTGAGGGGTAGGGGAGTCAGACGGGAAGTGGCCGAGCTGGGATTTGAACCCCAGTAGGCTAACTTCTGAGTTTCCACACAGTCTTAGTTATGTCCAATACGTGGCAATTGTTTTTATTAATGGATCATTTTCTTTGTTCTGGGTCTAACTGAACATGCTCCAGCTTCTTTGGGACTGCTGCTCCTGCCTGACCTTTTATCTCTGGACCTTCTCCCCTGCAGATGCCGGTGCAGCTGACCACAGCCCTGCGTGTGGTGGGCACCAGCCTGTTTGCCCTGGTGGTGCTGGGAGGCATCCTGGCAGCCTATGTGACAGGCTACCAGTTCATCCACACAGAAAAGCACTACCTGTCCTTCGGCCTCTACGGAGCCATCCTGGGCCTGCACCTGCTCATCCAGAGCCTGTTCGCTTTTCTGGAGCACCGGCGCATGCGCAGGGCAGGCCGGCCACTGAAGCTGCCCTCCTCCCAGCGGCGCTCAGTGGCCCTCTGCATCGCCGCCTACCAGGAGGACCCTGAGTACTTGCGCAAGTGCCTGCGCTCAGCTCAACGCATCGCCTTCCCAAACCTCAAGGTGGTCATGGTAGTGGACGGCAATCGCCAGGAAGACGCCTATATGCTGGACATCTTCCATGAGGTGCTGGGTGGTACTGAGCAAGCCGGTTTCTTTGTGTGGCGAAGCAACTTCCATGAGGCGGGTGAGGGCGAGACGGAGGCCAGCCTGAAGGAAGGCATGGAGCGTGTGCGTGCCGTTGTGTGGTCCAGCACCTACTCGTGCATCATGCAGAAGTGGGGAGGCAAGCGTGAGGTCATGTATACTGCCTTCAGGGCTCTTGGCGATTCAGTGGACTATATCCAGGTAAGACCGCCTCACTAGGAGTGTGTGCCCACGGGGGCAATATGTGGCCATGCCTGCTTGGCCCTAAGTAAGGCAAGAATGATTCTGAAGCAGCCCTGGGATTGACAGACCTGGGCTGCGGTTTTGTTGGTCCATAGCTCTGTGACTTTGGGTAGACCTCTGAACTGGTGTCCTCATAACAGCAGCAAAGTGGCACGTGGTGCTTCAAACCTACTGCTTCTTTCAAACTCCATTCTTCTGAGAGGCAAGAACTGCTCTGTACTCATAGAAAGCAAAAGAGAAGCTCAGAGAATAACTTGCCCAATGTCCCTAAAGCTAGCACAGTACAGACCAGAAAGAGCCAGGCAGCCCATCCAGGGCCTGCTTTTAGCCCTTGTGGGCTTCCTACTAGCAAGACAGTGATAAGTCTCTTTCATAGTGTGAAGAACAAAAGCAATCCTGCCAAAAAGCACTCAGTGAGTTAGGAGCCCAAAGTCCCATTCTTCCTAGTGTCAAATTCATACCTGACATGCAAGCTGGAGGAACATGGGTGTATAATTGACCAACTTCCTTTTCCAGTGTTGGCAGGGCTGGAATTCTAAGCAGACCCTGTCCAACTTCTGATCAAGTGGTCATTGGCACCAGTCTGGAAATTTTACTAGATTGGCAAAGTTTACATAACTTAAATTTTCAGACAACAATTTAGAACTAGACAGATTAAATTTATACATTTCAGTAACAGATAGAAACAGACAACTTAGCTCCCCAGGCTTCTGGTCTAGAATTCCTCACAGCATCCATTCTGCATCTGCCAGAGAGTTCTGCCTATTGCTTCAAAAACCCTTGAAAGAATAGTGGCTGTTTTGAATACCCACTGTGTGCCAATCCTGTCTTGCTGACAGCATATTCAGTCCTTTAATACTATTTAAGTGTTTTCTGATGTACCTAAGATTAGCTTGCATATTTACCCCCTTTGGTTTTTTTAAAATACTTTTTTTTTTTTTGGTCTTTTTGAGGCAGGGTCTCCCTGTAGCTCCAGCTGTCCTGGAACTCACTATGTAGACCAGGCTGGACTTGAACTCACAGAGATCCGCCTGCCTCTATGTCCCAAGTGCTGGGATTAAAGGTGTGGGCCACCACACCCGGCCTTGGAACAGGATTTGAATTCATCTGTAGCTACTCTGCTCTAAGAACAATGACCAAAATACTCAATCAGGGGGTCAGTAACCAATTCCCCTGCCCAGTGGATGTCAGGACCATTTCAGTAACTTTAGGAAGCAGACAAGAAGTCAGCCATGTTGGTAAGCATTTCAGAGCCCAGGTTTAACTAATAATAGGGCCATGTGTATTAGACCTCCTGAGGGAAGAGGGTCAGTGTGCAGGATTTGGTGCAGGGTGTGATTGGCGGTGGCTACTGCCAGTTTCCCAGCTCATTCGGGGTAAATCAGGTGAGAGGAGACTTGCCAAGATTCTGAGCACAGAATTCATGAGGGCCAGGTTCCTGGTCTCACGGAGGGTTTCTTGGGCAGGTAGACTGACCCTTATCACAGGGTTATTGGTGACCAAGAGGCCAGAGCTGAAATGAGGACACTCTTTGTTTTTTAAATTTTATTATTTTTATTTTATGTTTTGAGTGTGTTGTCTCCAGGTATGTAAGTACACCCAATATTGTGCAATGCTCACAGAAGTCAGAAGAGGGCATCAGATCCTCTGGAACTAGAGTTATGGATGGTTGTTAGCTGCCATGTGGGTGCTGGGAATGGAACCCTGTAAGAGCACCCAGTGCACTTAACCATTGAGCCATGGCTCCAGCCCCAGAAGACACTCTTAATAACTACTTGAGGACACTCTTAATAATTACTTACATGATTACCTCAGAAGCACTCTGACAGGAACTGTTTTTCAGCCTTCTGAGAAATGTCTGTTGGCTCTGGTCTAGCCCCCTATACCTGATTTCAGTGACTTGTTCCTCTGTTCTGCCCAAGGTCTCCAGAGAAAAATTTTGAGAGCATTTTTGTGGAACCTGGCATTAGGGGCAAACTAGAGTGCTAAGCATTTTCCCCTTCCAGGCCCAGCACCTCATCTCCCGGGTTTCTCTCCTTAGTTTTGTGGTATCTGAACTCTCAGTTGCCCTTTTCTTATTTTCTTTGTTTCTCCCCTCTCCCCTTCTGCCTAGCATAGAGCATTCTGAGAGAAGTGGATCACGGGGAAGGTCACACTTTTCAGGCAGTAAGCAGCTTCCTGAAGGGGGAGGGTACCTGTACAGGCCTGACGACAGAACTTGCTGACAGTGCACTCCCCTGCAGGTGTGCGACTCTGACACCGTGCTGGACCCAGCCTGCACCATTGAGATGCTTCGAGTCTTGGAAGAAGATCCCCAAGTAGGAGGTGTTGGGGGAGATGTCCAAGTAAGAATTAACCAACGGTTCCTGGAGGTTGGGGGATGGACTTTTCTATTTCCAAACCTAGTGGAATATGCCTAGGAAATGAGTTTTTTACATGCTGTTTTTTTACTGACTGCCCAACTCTTTCCTGTTTTTTTAAAAATATTTTATTTATTTATTTATTTTTTGGTCTTTTTGAGACAGGGTTTCCCTGTAGCCCCAGCTGTCCTAGAACTTACTGTGTAGACCAGGCTGGCCTTGAATTCACAGAGATCCACCTGCCTCTGCCTCCTGAGTGCTGGGATTAAAGGTGTGTGCCACCACGCCCAGCCAATATTTTATTTATTTTATGTGTATGACTGTATTGCCTGCATGTATGTGAGTGCACCCATGTCGTGCAATGCTGCAGAGGTCAGAAGAGGGCTTTGGATTCCCCTAGAACTGGATGGAGTTAAGGACAGTTCTTAGCTGCCATGTGGGTGCTGGGAATTGAACCCCAGTCCTCTGCAAGAGCAGTCAGTGCTCTTAACCACTGAGCCATCTTTCCAGCTCCTTTCCTGCTCTTTTTGAACATTAGGGTAGGGCGGGGATTTAAAAGTTTTGAGCCAGGAGTGGTGGTGGACTCAGGAGCCCAGGCAGTTAGAGCTCAATGAGATCCAGGCCAGCCTGGTCTACATAGTGAATTACATGCCAGCTAGGGCTCCAGGGAGACCCTGTCTCAAAAAAAAAAAAAAAAAAAAAAAAATTCTGGGGAGCCTATGACTTTGGAGAGGCATAGGATTTGGGGCTATAGACCCCAGAAGTATTTTCTTTTTGGCTGACAGTCTAGCAGGCAGCTCCCAAGTTAGGTCCTTGAAAAGCCCTTGCTCTTAGGGAACTGAGGCTAAAGAGCTGTAGGCAGTATGTCAAGCATAGAGAGCCAGATCTTCCTGTAGAGGGTACTGCAGGCAATCTGCACGCCTTACTAGAAGCTTTCCAACCACTGAAGGAGCAGGACAGGTAGCTGGGGTGGTTTGGTTTTCACCTTTTCTCAAGCCCACCACCAGTAAACTCCCAAGATTGAAACAAGACTCGGTCTATTAGAGCATTTTGGATGGGAGAGTCAGTGCAGGTGTAAAGGTAGAGCTGGTGCTTGGAGAGTAAGTGGGTTTGAGTGGCTCCTCTGAGCTTGAAATTCTGTTTCAATAGGGATAGAACTAATGACCAGGAATCTGAGCAATGGGCTCCATAACCCAGAGTAGGGAGGCCTCAGATGAAGAAGCCCCATCTCTGTTCCCTTACAGATACTCAACAAATATGATTCATGGATCTCCTTCCTGAGCAGTGTGCGGTACTGGATGGCCTTCAACGTGGAGCGGGCGTGCCAGTCCTACTTTGGCTGTGTGCAGTGTATTAGTGGGCCCTTGGGCATGTACCGCAACAGCCTTCTTCAGCAGTTCCTGGAGGACTGGTACCATCAGAAGTTCCTAGGCAGCAAGTGCAGCTTTGGGGATGACCGGCACCTTACCAACAGAGTGCTGAGTCTTGGCTACCGGACTAAGTATACAGCGCGCTCTAAGTGCCTCACAGAGACCCCCACTAAGTACCTCCGATGGCTTAATCAGCAGACCCGCTGGAGCAAGTCTTACTTCCGGGAGTGGCTCTATAATTCCCTGTGGTTCCATAAGCACCACCTCTGGATGACCTACGAATCAGTGGTCACAGGCTTCTTCCCATTCTTCCTTATTGCCACAGTCATCCAGCTTTTCTACCGTGGCCGCATCTGGAACATTCTCCTCTTCCTGCTGACGGTGCAGCTGGTGGGCATTATCAAAGCTACCTATGCCTGCTTCCTTCGAGGCAACGCAGAGATGATCTTCATGTCCCTCTACTCCCTTCTCTATATGTCCAGCCTCCTGCCAGCCAAGATCTTTGCCATTGCTACCATCAACAAGTCTGGCTGGGGCACTTCTGGCCGAAAAACCATTGTGGTGAACTTCATCGGCCTCATCCCTGTGTCCATCTGGGTGGCAGTTCTTCTAGGGGGGCTAGCCTACACAGCTTATTGCCAGGATCTGTTTAGTGAGACTGAGCTAGCCTTCCTTGTCTCTGGCGCCATCCTGTATGGCTGCTATTGGGTGGCCCTTCTCATGCTGTATCTGGCCATCATTGCTCGGCGGTGTGGGAAGAAGCCAGAGCAGTACAGCCTGGCTTTCGCTGAGGTGTGACATAACCCACAGATAGAGCGGGAAAAGTGCAATGGGTAAGGGAGGGAAGGGGAACAGAAGAGAATAGATGGGGCGGGAGGGAGGAGGGAGTGTTGTGTTCTAGTTTAATGGCTGAAAGGACAAATTTGAAATGCAAAGAATGGTGACTGGAATGGCCTGGGCAGCTCTGCTCAGAGGAAGCATGACACCGATTCTTCAGGCTTAGGGCAGAGGGGACTTGGATGTTTTCAGGCTACTTGTCTGCTTGTCCTCCTGGGACCTATAGAGAACTCAGAAGTGTGCTAAACCAAGTGCTAAGTTCCATCCTGTGGCAACTTCTGGTACGGAAGCCCGCAATCACAGCCTGTGGGAAGACTAGGTAGAACTTCCACTGAAGTCTGGGTCAGCTAATGTCCCTTCCCTCCCCAACCTCCGACTGGCATCAAAGCAGTAAGATTGTGCCTGAGATAACAAGACTGAGAAGTCTGATTGGTCAGAAAACAGGGTCTAGGGAGTGGTGCTTTATGTGACATACCCCACTCTGTATCACAGCACCCCAGGGATGAACCAAGCCAGCAGGAGTATGGAGTTGTTTTTAATATGCACTTAAAAAAAGTTTGACCAGGTGTGGTGGTACACACCTGCAATCCCAGCACTCAGGAGGGTAGATGCAGAAGGATCAATAGTTCAAGGGCAGCCTGAGCTACATGAGACACTGTCTTTCTCTTATTCACACACACACAAGTTTGACAGGAAGACCAGAGACTGTCCTGGTGCTAACAACCATGGAGGCCTTGGACTAAATGTTCTAATTGGGAACTGCTTAGACTTTTACATGGATTCCAAAATTGTCAGAGACCTTGCTTGGCAGATAAAATGTTTTAGCAATCTACCAGGAAGATCAAACCCCAATGTGTTCAGATAAGAAGTCTTCGTTATTTTAGTCTGTTTATACTTGAATTCCTCTCAAATTCAGCTCTGATCTGAGGCTAGACACCCTATCCTCTATTTCACTTTTCCCAAAGGCACATAGTTTTTTGTTTTTGTTTTTGTTGTTTTTCTGGTATGGGCAAAAAAACAGTAGTCACCTCTTTTTCATGAGTAAGTTTCTTAGCATGGCAGAGACTGGATCCTATGCAATAGGCTGCTCTCTACGCCTATGGAAGGATGCTGACTGCCTCTGATCAAGTTGTTTACCATCTTGGAACTGGATGGTAGCTTGACCACTGGTTGGCATGTGTAGCTTTCAGCTTACTGTTCTCGACAATCATCTGCAATGGAAAGCTTTCCAGTGTTGCCCAAGTGAACCCTCAAATCCAAGCCACTCATTTGAGACTGTCCATGCTCCTCAGTGGCTTCTCCAGGGAATTCTACGGCCCGGTGTGGATAGTCATGACTGCATTTACTTCCTTCTATCCAGAACCCAACCTAGGAGATGGAACTTGTTCCAACCATCCTTGCCATCTCGCACAATGCCCCTCAGGGCTATTCAATCTTCCTGCTTCTTTTGGGGAGTGACGAGAAGCCATTTCATATTTACTTGCAATTGAGCCTGGACTCAGCTTTTGGGTTTGAAATCTGGTAGAATGATTAAGCCTCTGACTTAGGGATTGTTTGTTCTTTTTCTAAACATTCATTTTTTTGGGGGGGGCAGCTAACCCCTGAGAACCAACACTAAGGTAGAGAGTGGTGTACCCAAGTGCTCCCTACAAAGGAATGAAGTGCATTCCAAACCTGAAACACAGATGGGCAAACCCTGGCTTCCCTTCTCATGATCAGGAGGGTTTTCCAGGTGTAGCCAACAGTTTTCACAGCACACAGACCTCAGGTTTCTATAATACTGCTGGCTAATGTCAAGCCTAGCTCACAATGGCTGGGAAGCAACAGGCATTTGCTAAAGGCAGTTGTTCCTGGCTCTTCTGTATTTCTGCTGGCCAAGAAGTAAACTATTTTGAGCACTACAATGGAGGAAACCGGCCAACCAACTGCAGAGCTCAGACTTCACTAAGGGCTTGTTTTCTTCAGCTTTGACTTGAAGGTTAGTGCAGGACAATGGACTCTGATGGAACTGTCTGTCCTACCATCAGCTCTGCCGCCTTGCACTGTGGTCAACTGTCTTCAGATTAAAAGACGCAGGTACAGTAGCGAGCTCACAACATTTGACCTCGACTGGATTTTCTAATTTATTTTATACATTTTTCAGCAGCAAAACTAAACTGGGTCTACAGCTTTATCCCTGTTTCTTGCAAGGGAAGAGCCTTTATACAATGAGACTCATTTTGGTTTTCCCTCATTGAGAATTTTAGCCTCTTTTGTATTATTTCTATAATAATTTGTAAACATATTTATTTCTACCTGTTTTTTTACAAGGAGGGAACCTTATTTAACGTTGAGGGTGGGGAGGGAACCAGAGGGGGAGCTTTACTTAGTGAAGGTGTTCATATTCATAGTCATGCTCTGGCTGCTGCCACTAAGCACAAGGCCTAGGCCTTTTACCTCCAGAAGCAAAGCCTCAGTGCCCAGAGGTATGTGGCAGAGCTCATCTTTTTTAGATAAGCCTCTTCACCACTCTATCCTCATCTTGTCTGACCCCTTCCTATGGAAGCACGTGGAACATCTCCTGGAAAACCTGCTTGAGATTGAGTTTCTAGCCTGGCCCATGTACGTATTCAATCTTACCATCAGCCTTCTAGCCATCCTTCTCTTTGAAGTAATGGCATTCCTCCTGCTGGCTGTACTCGCTGTAAATGGTCATCTTAATCTTAATGCAGCACATGGCTGGGGATGGGGACTTGCTGGGGGCCGCTTCCTGCACTGAACTCTCCAGTGGCAGGGCTGTAAATAAGTTCTTGTACAGGATGTGGAAAAGCCACAAATTCTTCTACTTCTCATACAGGCTGACCATTCTTCAGCCCAAGCTCTCTGATTTAGTCAGAGGCCAATTGTGACGATCCTTGTCTGGCTCAAAAATCCATGGGCTGCTCCTGCTCTTCCCAGTTCCAGACAGGTCATAGGAGGGAACTCGCCATAAGGCGCAGCAGAACTTTGAGGTGGCATTGCACGCCAGGACCCCCTTCTCCCACCCCAGCCTTACCATCTCTATCATCTTTCTCGCTGCTGCCTTACAGCTGCTCCAGCTGCCATAACCAATGCCACCTCTCTAGGAGAGCCTAGAGCGCCACTGTTGTCATCCTCAGTGATGCCTGTCTTCCCTACTCCAGCCTCATCCGTTGAGGATAAGCGCTGAAGACACAGGCTCCTCGTTCTCCGGGGCTACCTCTCCACTCTGGGTCGTTGGTGCTGACCTTTGCCCAGCACCTGGACCCAAAAATCCCCTTCTTGAGACTAATCCTCAAGAGTCATCAAGTCATTGTCCTACACTATCCTCTTCTCCTTGAGGACTTTCTTCACCCTCTGCTTAGTTGTCTTAAAGGTCACCATCTCCTTGGGTGTGAGGTGAGCTGAGGCCCTGCTGCAGCTGCAGCCTGACCTAGTTCTGTCAAGTCTCATTCCTGAAGGCCACTGGCCATGCCACCCTAGTCCCTATTGTACTTGGCCATGAAAGAGCAAGGATTTTGCTGTGCCAAGTCCACCTACACAAGGCATGTGTTAGGGCCACTTCCAGGGTTCCACATTCTTAGATGACTCCTTGTCCAGCAGGTTCATATTCACCAGCACATCTCCCCTCCCTACTGCTGCACTCCTTTTGTCCTCAAGGGTGAAGCTTGGCTCCCCTTCTCCGAATCAGTGCAGGCTCTTCCGTGAGGTCCTGCAGGGACTCAGACACTGTACAGGTCCTCTGCCCAAACTCCTCCCACAAGAGTGCTCACGCCATCTCCTCTAGCAGCTTGGTTCTCTTCTCCACCAAGTCCTCTTGTGGCTACCAGCTCCTCTCCACCCAGGCTGTGCTCTTAGGCAGGAGGCATCCTCCCCCAGCATCATCTTCCCCAACTTCTGGTCCAGCAATGCTTTTCTTTGGCAACCAGCTTCTCTTGTAGCTCTTCTTAGAGGGCCGTGGGGTTGAGATGGTTGCTGCTGCAGACTCCTCTTAGCACTGACCTCCAGGAATTTCAACCTCTCCTTTACTAGAGATGGCTGTCTTGATGTTGTGTGATTGGATCTCCTGAGGTGGCTCTGGAGCTAGCATGGACCTCAGGGGTCAGCCTGCCCTCCGGCTTTCTCCACTGCTGAGTACTTGGCCTCGCTGACACTGGGAACCTGAATTCCTATCACCCTCCACCCCACCTCTGTTCACTGCAGGTGCCACTCTGGTGCTTGTTTTTGTACTTCTAATGTTGTTTGGTGGCTGCTTGGCAGTGTCTGCTACCACTGTGGTTCAAGCCACCTTTCTCTCCAAGGTGCCTGATGACCCCATGGTGCTAAGCTGGCCTCTGCCAAACCCTGATGATGCAAAATGCAAATAATTCAGAGTCACTAGGCGGCTGCCATCCTGTTGCTGGCAACCAAGAAAGGCTGCTTCCTGTGTTACATCATTTGCATTGTTGCATTGGCCTCGGAGAGAATTTTTTTTTTTTTTTTTAAACTTTCCAGGTCAAGAATTTTATACTGCATTTATCAAAATAAAGGTTCTTACACAATGCTGGTTGTCCACTGCTGTGACAAAATACTAAGGTATATACTTTGAGGACGAAAGGTTTACTCTGGCTCACACTCTGAGGCCTCAGTTGATTCCATTTCTGGGCGTGTGGTGAGGCAGAATATCACTGAAGGGAGTGTGCTTGACAAAGCTGCTTCCCTAGAAGCTGAAGGGAATCAGACAGCCTAAGGATATCAGGGACAAAACATAACCCCCAAGCCTGTCTCCAGTGACCAACTTCCTCCAGCCATACTCTGCCTCCCAAAGTTTCCACCACTTCCCAGTAAGTCTCTCTTTAAAATTTTTTTTTTTCAATTTTAAAACTGAGTGTTCTGCCTACATGTAAGTGCATCTATGTAGTGCAATGCCTGCAAAGGCCAGAAGAGGGCATCAGAGCCCTTGGAACTGAAATTATGGACTTTGTTAGCCTCCACGTGGATGCTGGAAAACTGAACCCTGAGTTATCGGAAGAGCAGCCAGTGTTCTTAACTGCTGAATCATCTCTCCAGTCCCTGCAATAAGCCTCTTAAACTACAAATCTAGCAATGGTGCTGCTTCTCTACTGATGTTAGAGAATCTATTTCCCACCTCTATCAGAGAGCTGCACTAGGGACTAAGCTTTCAACACATGAGCTTTGGGGGGCACATTTCAGATCCAAAATTTAACTGGGGATCTCAGAACTATATATTCTTTGTGCTTAACAAAGTTGGATCTTTTTTTTTTTTTTAACTCTTTAAAATTTTATGTGTATGCGTGTATTGCCTGCATATAGGTAAGTGCACCCGTGTCCAGCAATGCCTGTGGAGGTCAGAAGAGGCTGTCGGATCCCCTGGGACTGGAGTTACAGACAGTTATTAGCTGCCATGTGGGTGCTAGGATTCAAACCCAGGTCTTCTGCAAGAATAACCAGTGTTCTTAATCGCTGAGCCATCTCCAGCCCCACAAAGGTAGATCTTTATCCTAGTTTCAAAAGGATTAGAGGTAGAAATGGTATCAGTGGAATTCAAAGTGGAATGGGCCAGAGAGAAGGTTCAGTGAGTAAATGTACCTGCTGCTAAGCCTGATGACCTGAGTTCAATCTCTGGGACCCACATGGTAGGAGAGAATCAATCTTTGCAAGTTGTCCTCTGACTTATTACAATGCACATGCCACAGAGTCCCACATACAAAAATGTGATTTAAAAGTTTCAAAAGTTGGGGCTAGAGAGATGGCTCAGCAGTTAAAAGTACTGGCTGCTCTTGCAGCAGACCTAGGTTTTGTTCCCAGCAGCCACATGGCAGCTAACAACTGTCCATAACTCCAGTTCCAGGAGATCCAATGCCCTCTTCTGACTTCCTTGGGGATTGTAAAACACACCCGTACACTTATATGCATGCAGTGAATACACTCACACACAATTTTTTTTTTTTAAATTCAAAGGTTGCAGACTGGGAGAGATAGCTTAAAGGCGTGAGCCACCATGCCTGGCAACCTTTTTTTCAAAGCTGCCATAGCTGCCTCAACCTGGGGAATATAGTTAGGCCACCCTGAGACTGTATATGGACAGTGGTTTTAGGTTTTTTTTTGAGAGGTGGAACAGAGTCTTGTGAAATAACTGTCAAAGGAGTGAACTTAGGATAAAGCTTGCTTCCTTGAGTGCAAGCATTTTGGATGGCAAGTGATGCAGGGCTGTGACCACAATGAAAAGCAATGGGCAACCTTCCTCTGGGGAGCAGAGAACAAAATGGAATGACAGTTCTCTCATCCCATTTATTAAAGAAATAGTAAGAAAAGATACAATGCAGGAAAAACACCAACCATCCTTCACATCAGGCTGAACAAAGCACAGAGATTTCTCCCTTTTATCCCTCCGCCCCCACCCCAATTCCCAAATTCCCATCTACATAAGTTTTGAGGTTCTTTGACTGGGAGTACCAGTGGAGAGGGAGCTGGATGAGCAGAGGAGCCACAAGTCTGGCCACCGCAAAGTCCCAGGAGAAAGGTGCTGCAGGCCCAGTCACGCAGAAATTTGGTAGGTCTGTGACGTGGTTGTCCATCTCCCCATTTTATGTCGAAGACCCCAGGGAAAGGTCTGGCAATAGAAAGAAACCAAGTCCAAGCCGCCCAGGTCAGAGTTACTGAAGCATCTGTTCATCAATGTAACATCTCTAGAGAGCAAGTGGACCAACTCTCCAGTGGGGAATGGGGGATTAGGACCTGCAGGACAATGTATCCCTGAGGAAAGTCCACAAGAACAAGTCGAGAAACTAGTAAGAAACAAGGGGCAGAAAGCACAGCAGGCTTCCAGAAGGTCAGAGATCCTTTCTCTGAGGCCAGGAGCATTCCTATCTGCCAGAGTCCATGTCCCACAAATAATATCTTGCCTTCAGTGAAGAAAAAAGAAAAAGACTCATTTGAACTTGAGCCTCAGTTATGCTCCAGACAGTAGCTCCGTATCTACCATTTTATCTAAGAGACAGTGCTTAGAAAACAAAGTGGTCCTAGAGGGAAAGTGGTGTTTAAGGGGGTAACATTCCATTTGGGTACATTGCAGCCATTGGACCCCCTGGTCTGGGAAAAGCAGCTGGGTTTGTGCCAGGGAGGCTCCCCACTCTAGGAAATGGGACCAAAGTCTTGGTTACAGGGCCATTCATCCTTGGAAAGGAAGCTGGGTTTAGACCCAGGGTCCCTGATGGTCTTACAAAAGGAGCAGGGTTGATACCCACAGGACCTGCTGGAGAAGAGCCCAGATGCCCAGTAGCTGACCTTGGGAAAGCAACTTGACCTGGGCCTAATGGACCAGCAGACCTTGGGAAGGCAGCTGGACTTGGACCCTGAAGGCCAGTGGCCCTTGGAAAGTTAGCTGGGTTGGGGCCTAGTGGCCCAGAGGCTCTTGGGAAAATTGCTGGATTTGAGCCCTGGAGGCCAGCAGACCTCTGGAAGGTACCTGGATTTGAGGCCAATGCGCCTGAAGACTGAGAGAAGGCAGCTGGGTTCAGTCCTCCTGATCCTGTCCCCCTTGGAAAGGGACCGGCACTTACTCCCATGGGGCCACCTGGCCTTGAGAAATGAGCTGAATTAGGGCCCATGGGGCCAGGAGCCCTTGACATGGGAGATGGATTTGGCCCTGGAAGGCCAATTCCTCGAGAGCCAGGACCTGTGTTTGCGCCTATGGGGCCAGGTGCTCTTGTCATGGAGGATGGGTTTGTACTCATGTTTCCAGAAGCCTGTGGGAAAGCAGCTGAATTTGTTCCTAAAAGACCTGCTGCTCTTAGAATGGGAGCAAGATCTAGGCCTTGAGGTCCAGCCATTCTTATGCTAAGACCAGATCCTGTGCCCAAGAGGCCACCTGCTCTGGTATCCAGATTTGGGCCTGGGCCCATGCCACCAGCTCTTGGATTGGGCCCAAGGCCTGGACCCATTCCACTTGCTCGTGGGTTGGGCCCTAAGCCTGGGCCTGGAAACACGCCTGACCTAGGGGCAGGGTTTGTACCTAAAAAGCCTGATCTCAGATTAGGATTTGGTCCAGGGCCCAGGCCAACTGCCCTAGGATTGGGAGGGCCATTCCCAGAGGACAAGACACCTGCCCTCAGGTTGGGTCCACATCCAGAGCCCATGGGGCCACCACTTCTGGGGTCAAGATTCGTTCCCAGCAGGCCACCTGCCCTTGAGTTGGTCATAGGACCTGGGCCTGGGAGACCTCCTAATCTGGGGTTAGACATAGGACCCGGGCCTGGAGCCCCTATTCTAGGATTCAGACCTGGTCCTGGGCCCAAAAGGCCACCTGGCCTTGGGAAAGAAACTGCACCTGTACCAGTAGAATTCATCCCTCTTGGGAAAGAAGCCATGCTTGGGTCACGAGCACCAGCAGGAAAAGGTGCTGGATTTGAAGCCATTGAGCCTGAGGAACTTTGAAAAGATGGGTTCCTTGGAAATGGGGCCAGGTTTCCACCAAGGGAACCTGCCATGAAGAAAGGATCTGAGTTCACACCCATTGGGTGGCCTGTGTTCATAACAGGACCTCTTTGTGGTCCCAGGGAACCGTCCAGCCGTCCTCGAGGTGGCAATGGAGCACGAGTCCAAGGAGTTGGCCGCTCTCTATGGAAAATCCGGGGTTCTTTCATACTTTCTTGGGGACGTTGGTGATAATGGGCTTGGGGCGGGTTTTGAAAAGGATCTTGTTTTTGATGAGTGCTGTTACCAGGTATCGAGTGCCAGTCTCTCCACCAAGCTCATCACAGTCCTTCTCCCCAGGAGTGTGTTTGACAAGGACTACAAAAGGTTTCTCGAGGTGGACGATTTTCCCATACAGGATATGATGCCCCACAATCAGCACAGGGGTTCCCTTTGGCAGAAAAAAAGGAGATGCCTGAGATTGAGGGAAAAAACATCCCTCTTTCAGGTGCCAACAAAGCTGCTCTTGGCAAGCAATGCTGGCACCTCCGGTCCCTTGTCTGGCTCTACACTGTTAGAAAGCCACAGCAGACTGCCCACCCTCGAGTCCTTATTCTTTCTAGCCCGATAGAAGAACATTTTAGAAATAGAACCTTTCCAGATTCCCCAAAGCTGTACTTGCTTGCTACTGCAGAAGTGGGGAACGGCAAGCAGATAGCTCTGCAGATTAGCTAGACCTTGAGTAACCAACCTGAGGACAGTTCTCACTGAGTCCTGGGAGCACCACCTTGGTGTAGCTTGCTTTACTGAGGCATCAGGCAGGGAAAGAAAAGCCCCCTCACCTCAGTGGTGTAATGTAGGTCTCCCAGGTGGTTTCCAGCTAATCCAGTGCTGTAGCGAGCCTCGATCTCCCCCTGTAGCTCCATCAGCACCCATTCTGCCAGGCCTCCAGCCCCCGGACTGCAAGTAAAGGTCTGGCGGTTACAATATTTTTGAGTGGTGAAGGATGAATAGTGTTCTACACCACCATTAGAGGCCCAAAGGAATTCTTTGTTGAATACGAGTTCTTGGGAAACTGGGTAATGGCCAGGCACTGAAATAGAGATCTTAATGCAAATATTTATATAAGATATACCCGAAGACCCTAATTCTTCCAGAAAACCACGAAACTTGTATAGAGCTAGTCATTCAAAGTAAGGAAAAATTTAAAATGTACTCACCTGGAAATAACAATTTGCACCATGAGCCTTCCTTCTTTAAAAAGCAACTGAAAATAAACTAGAGAAAAAAAGAAAAGAAAACCTTTTAGGGCACCAATAACAGCTAATCACAAAATGACAGCTAATATTTATCAGTTAGTTGTATGATAGTAGTCTATCAACTAAGTCACATACCCAGCCCAATGGTGGGAAGCACTTTTCCAAGTGACTTTAGTTTATTTTGTTTCCCTAACAGTGCTACCAAAGGCTAGGTTTACTTACTGATTCTGAACATACAAAGTAAGGCTGCTAAAGACTTCAACAGTTGGGTTGGTAATGGAGCTCAGTTATATAGAGCACCTACATATATTATACTAAGACAGCAACAGGATACATAGGACACACCTTGCAGAGACTACTCTTGACCACTCTGTTAACTTTTTTTAGTGGCTCTGGGGAGAAGCCAGGGGCCTATGCACATTAAGCAAACACTGCCTATATCCCTAGCCACTTGCTTTTCTTGATATTCTATTTTCTACTCTATATATTTCCTTCTTTTTTCTTTTTTTTTCCTTGGTCTCTTTGAGACAGGGTCTCCATGTAGCCCCAGCTGGCCTTGAACTCACAGAGAGTTCTGCCTCTGTCTCCCAAGTGCTGAGATTAAAGGCATGTACCATCATGCCTGACACTACATCTTTTTTCATTTTTAAAATATTTAGGGGGCTGGAGAGATGGCTCAGTGGTTAAGAGCACTGACTGCTCTTGCAAAGGACCTGGGTTCGATTCCCAGCACCCACATGGTGGCTACGAACCGTCCTTAATTCCAGTTCCAGGGGAATCTGAAGCTCTCTTATGACTTCCGTGGCATTGCACAACACGGGTGCACTCACATACATGCAGGCAATATACTCATACACATAAAAATAATAAATATTAAAATATATATTTTTTACTTATTTTTATTTAACATGTATGGGTGTATTGCTTGCGTGTTGGATGTAGGTAGGTGCACCCATGTCGTGCAATGCCTGTGGAGGTCAGAAGTTGGATCCCGTGGAACTGGAGTCACAGCTGTCATGTGGGTGCTGGGAACTGAACCTAGGTCCTCTACAAGAGTAGTCAGTGCTCTTAACCCCTAAGCCATTTCCCCAGCCCCCGTTTCTTTTTTAAAATGTTTTATTATTTTTATTTATTTACTTTTTGTCATTTTGAGATGGGGTCTCCCTGCAGCCCCAGCTGGCCTGGAACTCACGATGGAGACCAGGCTGGCCTCCACTTGCCTCTGCCTCCCAAGTGCAACCACGCCCAGCCTATTTTTATTTTTTTATGTGTATGAATGTATTGCCTGCATGTGTGTAAGTGCGCCCATGTCCTGCAATGCCCACAGAAGTCAGAAAAGGGCATTGCATTCCCTGGAAATGGAGTTACAGACAGTTGTTAGCTGCCATGTGGGTACTGGGAATCAAACCCTGTCCTTTGCAAGAGAAGTCAGTGCTCTTAACTGCTGAGCCATCTCTCCAGCCCCCTACTCTGTATATATTTCTAAAAAGAACAAAAAATAGAAACAGAAACTGGTTTAGTGATAGGAACTTCATATCTATTATTTGATATTTCTAGGTTTAAAGGCCCTTTTAATAAAAATGAACCAAAAGAGCCCTATCGACAACTCTAGCAAATGGTCAGCTAATTTCTGATGTCTCAGTAAATGACCACCTTTGACTTAGATGTGGAAAGTCAGTATTTTAATTTTATGCAACAGCACCACCTGGTGGCAAGTGCAGAGGATTCTAAAAGCCTGAGACATTTTAAAATCTGATGACATGTACAATTTGCACTTGTGCCTGTCATTCAGGAAAAAATGGATTCAGACCTGGTTGAGGAAATGGAGGACCAAAGCTACAGCGTCTGTCTTTCAATGTATATATGGAACTTGGTGGTGGGATGTCCAGTATTTATCAACCATACCAAGTTACAGATTTTAAAACTGTACTCAAACTCAGCAAACATACTAACCAGATTTTTTTTTTTTTTTTTTATTTTACTTCTTTGAGCCAGGGCCTTACTATGTAGCCCAGACTGGTCTCAAACTGGGGATCCTCCTGCCTCAGTATGCAAAGTGCTAGGATTACAGGTGGCACCAGCATGTTAGGTTAAACAGGTTTTTTTTTTACTGGATTTCTTCACTTTGGACCTCCAGCAGCTAATGTGTTTTGAGTTTTTACCACAGACCACATATCATGTGTAAATGGACTCCCACTCCATCTGACAACTCTGATAGTAAGTAGTTATTCTATTTTGCAGTGAGGCTACTGGGGCATATAGATTAAATCTCTCATATGTGGTACAGACTCGACTACAGAGTGTAGTCAAGCCAAGATAAGAAACTAGGCCAACTAGCTACACTTTTGAATCATCACCCAATTTCACCTTCCCAAAGGACAAAACCAAGCTTGAGTGAGAATGAAAAGGAATCAAGAAACTAGGGAGTCACTGAGAACCTATGTTTAAGTGCAGTTAAGACCAGGCTGTGGTCTTTCTCTGAGAAACGGCAATATGAAACTGGTATTTTTGAAGGTAAAGATCTTTGTACACATAAAGAGCAACCCAGGACTTGAGACAAGATCTCACTGTGTAATCCAGTCTAGCTTTGAACTAGCAATCCTCCTGTTTCAGCCTCCTGAGTACTGTGATCAGAGCTGTGTGGCACTATGCCCTACTTCAGCAGAGCTTTTGAAGCAAACAATAATCCAGATGCAGACGGCCACAGTTCAGGGTCCAGTTTGTAAAGTGGAGCTCTACTGTATGATCACACACAAGTCATTTGATGACACTGGCACTAACACCTACATTATGACTCACTAAATGTAACATACAAATTTGCTTTAAAGACTCGGGTTCTTTAAAAAAATTTTTTTTTATTTTATGTGTATGAGTGTATTGCCTGCATGTATGTAAGTGCACCTGTGTCATGTAATGCCTGTGGAGGTCAGAAGTGGGCACTGGATCTCCTGGAACCGGAGTTACGGACATTGTTAGTCTCCACGTGGGTGCTGGAAATCGAACCTGGGTCCTCTGCAAGAGCAGTCAGTGCTCTTAACTGCTGAGGGGCCGTCTCTCCAGCCCCTAAGGATTCAAGTTCTATTGAGAAGAGCTAACTTTTTAGAGCATGAGGTAAGAAAATCAGCATTTTGCCTATTATTTAGTCTTTTTGAGGTAGGATCTCCTTGTAGTTCCAGTTGACCTGGAACTCACTATGCAGACCAGGCTGGCCTTAACTCTCAGAGATCCACCTGACTCTGTTCTGGGATTAAAGGCATGCACCACCACGTAATTTATAAAGTACATCAGACACAAATCAAAAGTGGCCCAATGCTGCACTGATCAAGTTATTGCAAGTTTTCAGTTTGTCTTTTAGACAGGGTCTCATTATATAGCCCTGACTGGCCTAGAACCTGCTTTGTAGACTAGGTTAGCCTTAAATTCACAGTGATCCACCAGCCTCTGCCTCCTGAGTGCTGGGATTAAATATGTGTATTTTCCCTGATGGGTGCAAGCTGTAGCAAAATAAGGTGATATAAGGAAAGCAAAAAGATGTTCACATAAGTAAGCAACATGTTCTGGAAAGCACAGGGAAGAGAAGATAAAAACCTACTTTCTTGGGCTAGGGAGATGATTCAGTAGGTAAAGCACCTCTCATGCAAGAGGGAGGACCTAAATTCAAATGCCCAGAACCCACACAAAAGCTGGACACACAGCAGAAACAGAAGCAATCCTAGTGGTCCTATGAGATAAGCAGCAGATAAAGGAAAACCCCTGGGAGTTTGTAGATACAGGGGGAAAACCACCAAAAGACTCAAGAGATTGTCTCAAACAAGGTGGAAGGCCAGGACTGACACCAAGACTGTCCTACACACACACCCTCAAACCTACTTCTTGAAAACTAAAAATCAATTTTTTTTGAGATGGTCTCCCTGTAGCCCCAGCTGGCCTCAATCTCACAGAGATTTGCCTGGCTCTGCCTTCCAAGTGCTGGGATTAAATGCATGTACCACCACACCCGCCTTTTTTTTTTTTGTCCACAAGCATGAGAGGGGAGTATGTGTGTCGTTTAGAAGTAGATGCAGAAGGACACTCGGGAGGCAGATCTCTGTGAGTCTGAGGCCAGACTGGTCTACAGAACCAGCTGGGGCTACAGGGAGATCTTGCCTCAAAAAGACCCCCCCCCCCAAAAAAGTGGATGCAGAAATATTTTCAGTGCATTCTCCTTTCTAGTCTCTTACTAGGACAGGAATTCATAACAGTGGACTAAGTAAAACAGACATATAACCTGAGACTGGTGGCAGTTGTATACCAATCCCTGGACTTCAATGAGCATGCACATCTTTACAGAAAATGCAGGTGGCCCTGCTTGAGCTATGGCTATTGATATTGACAGACACCTAGCAACATCCTGTTAAACAGTAATTCTGTGGCCCACAGCCTGGTCATTTTGTTGCTGTATCCCACCATGTCTGTGTAAACCTGTTATGCTAGGTCTACTTGAATGCTTCAGTTATATAAAATGAAATGCAAGCCAAGTAAGTCAGTGTAGCTCAGAGGCACCTGTGCAGTGATCTGGTTCTATTTATGCGATTATGAGGATGTATTTACCAAATTAAAAAAAAAAAAAAAAAAAAACATCAGGGACTGGGGGCTAGAAAGATGGTTCAGTGGTTAAGAGCACTTACTGCTCTACCCAAGGACCTGAGTTTCAGTTCCCAGCACCCACAAAGCAGCTAACACCTGTCCTCAACTCCAGTTCCAGGAGATCTGCCACTCTCCATGAACACTAATGTGGTGCACTTAATACATGCAAACAAAATACTCAGATACATAAAAATAAATAAAATCTTTGAAAGTATATTGCGGAGTATTTAAATTCTTAGGTAAATTAAAAAATTCTGCTTTTGTACCTTACAATCTCCTGTAACATCTGAATTCTATTACCCCTTTTCTTGCTCCTTGAGATCACCAAAGTCCACAGGACTAAAGTGGGAAGGTACATCCAGGGACTAAACTGAGGACACAGGTGATGGAGGTGACAGGAGCAGGACCATGTATTCCAGTGAACATAAAGTTGATTTAAAAGGATATGAAAAATCAGGGATGGTGGTGTGCTTCTGTAATCCCAGTATTTACAAGGCTAAGGAAGGAGAACTGGGCCAGCCTGGACTAAAAGTGTGAGACCTGGTCTCAAAATACTAAGATGGATATGAAGACGATCATCTTAATCTGTACTTCTCTAGCTCGTGAGAGTAAACGGGAGAAGCTGAAAAAGAGGTGGGGAAGAAAACACAAGTAGAATGTCTGCAATCTGAAGCGGTGACAGGCTACCAATCTGAAACTCTTTTTGAGACAGTCTCTCTGGTGCCCTGGATAGCCTAAAACTCTCTATGTAGATGAGGTTCACAGAGATCCGCTTGCCTCTTCCTCCCAAATGCTGGGAATTAAAGGCATGCACTGCCATGCCCAGTCAAATCTAAAATTGTTTTAGCACAATGTTAGGGGCAAGTATCAAATTTCAGAGTTTATTAGTTTTATTCCTTTAGGGATGCCCATCTTCTAAGTCTATGCAAATATGCCCAAATCTGAAAAACTCCAAAACTGCAAACACTTCTTATGTGCAAATTTTGGCTACTTAACCTGTAACAAGACAAATCCTGTAATAACATCTAACAAAAATATTGCAATGAAAATTCTTTAATAATAAAGATTTCTGAGTCTTCAGTCTCAACTCACTCTAACACTAAGATAAAACAATTTCTAGGTCAGTCTAAGATTTGGCTTGTTTAGAACAGCAGCACAGGTAGAATGTCCCCAACACAAGACCTCACACAGCCCAACCTGTTTTGAATATGTGCTGGATTCTCTCATCTCATCCTGACATCCACCTGAGGTAGGTATGGGCAGCCCACTAAAGGCTAGGCCACTGGTCACACGACTCTTGGGAAAGGTGGTCCTTCTTGCAGCTCCTGAGCCACCCCCCTCAGATAGTACTTCTCTCAAGTCCAGCTGCTTTACAACTTGGCCTCACTCTAACAGCTTGGGACAAAACACTAATAAGTAACCTTGCAATTTGCTACCAGAGTATCTGATAAACCTAATACATCAAAGTACTTAAATAACAAGCTAGCTCTTTATCTTATCTGTGTTTAGTGGTGTTTTCTTTTGGGGCCATATTCTCCCCCTAAATCCAGCTAGCCTGGAACTCGTTATGTAGACCAAGCTGGCCTTGATCTCACAGAAATGGACCTGCCTCTGCCGCCAAGAGTTTTGGGATTAAAGGCGTATGCCAACAGGTCTTGCTCATGCTTATTTTTCAAACCTCTATAAGGCAATTCAATTCAAATACCACCTTCAGAATTCAAAATACTACTTTAAACCTGCTCCTTAGTGAGGGTAAAGCAGCAAAGAGGATTGAGGACATTTTCTAGAACTGGAAATGTTCATTACAAGTATCTCATCATTTTGGGTTTTTCTGTGGAAGGATGAACCCATATATATGCTAGGCAGGAGCTCTACCGTGGGTTTTTGTTTTGTATTGTTTTAAAGAAAAGGAATCAGGTTTTAATTTTCCAATACTACGTTTAAAAATTACCTTAAAAATTAAGGTGAAATGATTCAACCATTTTGAAGTGTAAGAAATGCTAAATACATTTAAAAAATATGACACATGCCATGCTGATAGAATTTATTGAGTTTGGTCCCAGGGCCTATACTTTGTTTAGGGATTCGAGCGAGTCACTCTTCAAACCAACCTGCAACATGCATTCTACAATGCCACCTAGCCTGTGTGCATACCTATCTTAAAAAGTTAAGAATGACATAGTAACCAAAGAGCTTTCAGCACAGTGCCTAATCTTGAGGCTTAAGCTACTGATGACAGGAGGAATTTGCATTTTCTTATATGTCTAAGAGAATGGTCACTATGTGCCTTTCTACGAAACGAACTTATGAAACTTTATGTATAACAATACAAATCACTTTTATTGTCAGTGTTATTGTGGTTCTGTGACTGAAGGGGATGGATGATCCTAGTTTTGAAGATCTTGTCAGGATTATGTTACTAAGCATTAATTGCGACACTTGCTTCCCTCCAAAACGGGGCTGTGGAGGGGAGGTGGGACTGAATGCTTCCAAACTTTTCATTAGTGAAGAATGTTTTCAAAACGTGTGTGGATACTATGCATACACGTGTTACTTCCCGTCACATTTTAGGATTCCCAGGTTGGAGGGAATCAATTACCGGTATTTGTAGACAATGAGTAGAAAAGGTGGTTTCAGTCGATTTTGAATTACTTCGGTTTTCTCCATCTTCTACTCTGCCACCCTCTCAACCTTTCAACCTCTTACAGGTGTGACCTCCCCCCCTTACAAGCCCCCTTCCAACTCCCGCTGGGGGAGTTTCCCTCTTGGCTAGATTCTCCTCCCATCCCTCCCCCATCTTCTCCACCCTCTGATCCCCTCCTATCCTCCTTTCCACTAGAGCTAAGGACGCCTTCCTATTTGTAACCCCGCCCACTTTCTGAACTACCCCCCCACCCCCCCAACTACCCCTGACTCTTGCTGGAAACCCTTTTACCAAGGCGTCCAGCCCCTCCATCTTCCCCCCCAGAAGGCTATTCCTCCCTCACATGTATCATTCTTTAAGCTGCTTTCCTCCACCACCCCCACCGGAGTGGTTTTCAATTCCTCACCCTCCCGCAAAGATTCCTCTTCCAACTACCTTCTACCACTCACACTACCCAAAACTGCTCCCCGTCCAGCTCCACCAGGACCCCACCATCCTCATCTCTCGGCTTCACCCACAAAGAACCCGAGCTCTCTCTCTAACCACCCTCCAAATAAATAATAATAATAATAATCCCAGCAGCTTCCTCCTCTTCCCCCCGCCCCTCACGATTAAAAATGTCCCCTGAACAAACCTCACATTCCTGTCTCCTCCACCTCGCCCCCACCCATGAGGCCCCCTTCCTGTCATGCCCGCACCTTTCTGGCTTCCAGGTCCACTGGGCTCCCGCAGGCCTCCCGACAAGGGGCCGAGCCCCTTTCCCCGCACATACCTCGAGGATCCGGCCCGCGCCGCCCCCTGCTCCGTCCTCCG